TTTTTCCTGATTTGTTGTTTTCTCTCCCCAAGTCCTCCCATGCTCCCTACCCACCAAAATCCACACTTTTTCTTCTCTCTTTAGGCAACTAAACAACAATAACAAGCAAACCAGAATAGAACAAAACAAACAAATAGGAAACAATGGCCAAAGGGGGGAAAACATAAGAAACAAATACAGATACAAAGACACATACATTTGCACACAGAAAAATCCCATAAAAACACAAAATATAAGAAAAACATTTGTAATGTAAAACAAAAACAAACAAACACCAGAAAAAAAAAAAACAAGACGAAACAATGCCAAGACCAAGAATTACAAGGTTAAAAAAAATCTCCATACATACTACTGAGAAGTTCTGTGTTGACAATCTACTGCTGGGCATGGGACCTGACTTTAAACATGGTTTGTATACTGAGTGAGACTCGATTAGAGAAAATGAATTTTCGTTTGTGTGCAGTTGTTAATTGGAGATAGCTTCTGGGTTACGATTGTGGGCTTGTGTCCTCTCAGTACTCTTGGCCTTCATCTGGCTTTGACCTGTGCAGGCTCTGTGCATGCCGACACTGTCTCATTGAGTTTATATGTGTGTCTGTACTATTGTATTTTAAAAGACCTTGTTTTGATGGTGTTCCATCCCTACTGGATCTTACAATCTTTCTGCTTCCTCTTCTGCCCTGAGTAGAGAGCCTTTAGAGAGAGAGCTCTCATTTAGGACTGAGTGTTCCAAGGTCTCTCACTATTGCTTAGTTGTGGGTCTCTGTATTTGTTTCCATCTACTGTAGGAGGAAGCTTCTGGGATGATGACTGAGCAAGAAACCAATCTATGAGTATGCCGGAATGTTATTAGGAGTCATTTCATTGCAATATTCCTTTATCAGAACAATATTATTTGGTATTTTCCTAGGTCTGTAGCATGTTTAGTCTCAAGTTCTTGACTACCTGAACAGTGTCAGGCATGGATTCCATCTCATGGAGTGGTCTTAAGTCTAATCAGATAGTGGTTGGTTACTTCAGACTTTTGTGCCACTATTGCTCTAGTGTACCATGCGGGCAGCTTACCGTTGTAGATTTCAGGGTTTCCAGATGGGTTGTTACTTAGCTTTCTCCTCTGATAGCATTCTGAATACCTTCCACTAGTTAGTAAGGGTGAAGGCTCCAGATAGGCAGCAGTGTGACTTCTCCATGTTTACTGAGTTCTTTAGGTGCTATCTTCATCAATATGATCTTACCATCAGTTTGTTGAGAGCAATTATTAGCTTTGGGAAGATACTCTGGCTTGTTTGGGGGATTCCATGGGAACCCTTTGGCCAAGAACTCAATTAGATGTATCCTTTTCCTTACACTGGAGGTTTCATTGGGTAGTGAGAGATAATTAGTTCAGGCTTTGTCTCTCCTGTTATTTGGTGATTCCATTTAGATTTCTTTCATATATGTATATATTTTAAGAAGCTTCTACTATAATGGATTTCTATATGAACTATCAAATGATCCTTAGTTTTAGCTGTTCCTCCTCATATTCCCTCCATTACCACCTATTCTCCCCCTTCTCTGTTTATCACTCCCAATCCACTCTCCCCAATATCCATCTCTAATTATATATTAATTATATAGTCTATTTCCCTTCCCATACCAGTTCCTTACTAGATACCTAACTTATCAAAGACTTAACAGCTAGCATCCTTTTATAAGAGAATACATACCATATTTGTCTTTTTAGGCCTGGGTTACCTTTACTTAGGGTATTTTTTCTTCCCCCATCCATTTGCATGTGAATTTCATGATTTTGGTTTTTTAACAGCTGAGTAATATTCCATTGTGTAAACTGTACCATGTTTTTTTTTTTTTTGATCTGTTCATCCACAGATGGACATCTAGGCTGTTTACAATTTCTGGCTATTATGAACACAGCAGAAATGAACATGGTTGAGTAAGTGTCTCCATGTATGATGTAGAGTCCTTTGGGTATATGTCCAAGAGTGGTATAGCTAGATTGAGGTAGATCTACCTGAAACTTCTTGTATCTCAGTAATTTTCATTGTTGCTTTCTTTAATTTTCCTTAATTAGACTTGATATATATGTGTATATATACAATGTATATTTTAAATCAGTATTAAAAATATTCTGAAAACAAACACTACTGGAATATTGTTTGCAGCTGTGTTAATTATATTCTAAGTATGGTAACTAACTGAATTCAAACATTGTACCTGTACTGCATTCACTTTGGGACCTGTCAGCTGTGGTGTGTTCTCTTCCTTGCCATGGAAGAGCTTTTTCCTATTGGAAAAGCTGTCAACCTTTACATTATAGCAGATTAGGACTTGCACAAGTAGCATTCTTCTCTGTTCAACATACTCTGTACATGAAGGACTACGGACCATATTGTCTGTCTTCACATTGTAGAGAACTGTTTTACAAGGGACCTCATCTTATTGTCAATAGGCTCTGATACAAAAGTAAAGTTTTATTAGTCAAAGAAGAGTTTTCCTTTGAGTATAGTTCCAAAGAATAAGGAAATCTTTAGAGCCTTCACTTCAGATGTCATTATGCTTACATTGACAAGTGTTGATCGGTTATTGTTGATAACTTTGGAGAAGTGTATGTAATACTGTGAACTGATGAATACATAAGAAATGTGGGTTTCTTCATTCCCAGGTTTTTTCCCGTGTATCCACCTGAAGTAAATATTGAATAAATTTTTATGAAATAAAACACAATTATGAATTGACAGCTTATTGGGTTCTTGATAAAATGTTCCAGAAAACATTGAAACTGTATATTCCCCTGATTGTAACAGTATGTTCTAACTCTACTTTTTTTCTGGAGTCTGAAGATGTTCTTCACAGAGGTGTTGTTTCATTAGTAGTCAATGTCTGCTTACTTTGAAAATGTTATATACATTTTGATCGTTGATGTCTTGGAATATTTATTTTGGTCTGTTGATAGTGTTGAGAGACTGTTGAACTCAGTTGAAGTTGCTGGGATGGAAATCACAAACTTTAGTCAGATACTGACAGGAAAGTCAGAATAATGGCATCTGATCCTGTCAAAGAAACTATGCAGAATCATAGACTTGCACTCCCCTTCCAAAGGCTAAGAGGAACTAGTTAGTTACTAGAGTAATATCAGAAAGGGGAAACCCTGAGGACTGCTGTGGTCTGGAAAGAACACAGGATATGGAAAGGGATAGGGAGATACAGGCAAAAGATACACATTGGAGAAGAGAGCAGTCGTGAGTCATGCCAAGGCATGAAGAGTGTGAGTACTTACTGAAGAGGATGGAAAGACCTTAAACTGAGGGAAGCAGAACAGAAATAAGAGAAGAGTACAAGTTGTTGAATGAGACCATACAAGAGCAATGGAATGTTGATTAGAATGAAAAGCTGCCTTTGGAACATATAATGCATAGATTTTAGCAAATAACTTTGTAAGAAAATAATGAAAATAAAGACCGGTGTTATGAATAAAGAGAATCATATAAAACTTTAACTTATTCTGAGTAATTTTATATTTTATATAATTATATCACGAAATATAATAAATAAATAAAATTATAGATAAAATAAAATTATATTAATTTATAGTATATAAAATTACTGGAAAATTTCTAAACTAGATTTTATTAAATTATTTATTAGACTTGTAGCTATTAAAGTCAACTTTAGTGCAGTTCATAATACATATTTCTGCTTTCTCCCTTACCAAAATGTAAGACAACGGACCTGGAAAAGCACACATTCTTACAAAGACAGGTTTTAGGAAAAAACATACCAAGTTCTTTTCATGTGGCCATTATGATCCTAAACGATTAGTTTATTTATTATACTCTCACGTTGAATATTAAATATTTAATGATTGTAAGTGCTTAAATTAGTAAAAAGTAAAGGGCTAATATAAGAAAATTATACATGGTTATATTTATAAACATAATCATTTGGATCCTAAGAAAATGTTTGCAAATTGGATCTAATAGTTATTAGGTAAATATAAAATCAATCAGACTTATAATAGGAAGGCAGCCTATAGATAGATTTAATTAAAATATTGAAGAAGAAGAAAAACATTTTCATGGGTAGAATAAATCATTATTTTTCTACCTCATGATAGAACATTCATGGTAAAAACAAATAACCAAATGTAGAGACAAGCTTTCATAAGCAGTGGAAGGCTATGACTATTTCAAACATATTGTTGTAAAATATAAAGGCTTTTTACTGACAAGAAATTTGATTACCAAAGATAATTTTTATTTTACTGGCTCAAAGAACTCTTGGTTGGGTTAATCAGAAGGGTTGGCATGCAATTACTGGTGGATTATTCAGAAAGCTTAGTTCTGAGGACATTCAGAACAACTGAGTCTTTGATTGTGCTTCTGCTGAATCTCCTAAAACCATCTTTGTTTTGGTTATCATAATTATTTTAAGCGGAGTATGACAAAATGCATGTTTAAAAGTCAACCACTGTATATATTTCTTAACTTTTTAACCATGTTATTTTTATCTAGTATACTATGCTATGTTATTGTAAGTAATATATTATTCCTCTCATGTAAATATGAATACATATATATATATATATACACATACATACATAGATGCATACTATGTTTATATTTGATGTCTTTGCAAAGCATATGAAGTCCAGCTAGAGAATTATCTTAATACTGTCACTGCAGTTATATACTCTGAGATTAAACTGGGTCAGTATATGTGAGCTATGAATCAAAAGGACCAACACATTACATTCATGTTTAGGACACACACCCTCACACATGGGTGACTAAATGTACATGTACACACACAGTCAAATAAAATACATTGTATGCTTCTTAATGTAATTAGATGGAGACAGTGACTTAAATTATCATCAAGTAATAGGGGCAATAACCCAAAGAAATGTCAGAGAATGTAACACAAGCTACAAAATGTAAGGTATTATTAGGCAGTTAAAGAGCATAAAATGTTACTGGAACATTTTAATATTGTATTTTCAGTGAGCGTATATGTCATGCTCCATCAAAAGAGTCCACATGTGCTTTGTGTAACTCAACGACTGAGAAACACTGAACTGGTAGACCCATCATTCCAATGGCATGGGCCAAAAGGAAAAATTGTTTCAGGTAGGATTTTATTTTTATTATCATAATTAAGTAGATATATCTCAGATGTACTTATACTTAAAAGAATATTTGTATCTAAATACATTTATCATTTATTCAAATATTTTCTTTGTAGTCTCCTGGAGTTGATATAGTAATGTTGATAATATAAACGTTTCCTATTGTCTTTATTAAGGATGAAGATATCAAAAAATTCAGCTGTTTTGAGAGTTCCATTTTATGTGAAAAATCACAGTTTCTGATTTCATTACCCTTCTTTTGCTTATGTACCTATTTTATTGTGTATTGTCTATTTCATCTTTATTCTAAATCTTGAATTTGATAACTGATTTAATTTATAGTTTGCTCTAAAGGTTATACTCACTAATAGCCAGATTTTCTTTACAGAATAGTATATAAAACATAAGTTGGCTGCTAGTAGATATTCTAATATGAGTTCTTACTTTCTTATGTTATCTGTGCCAAATACAACATATATATAATAAAAATACATGAACATATGTAAATATATATATTTATTGACACTTCTGGTGTAGGAAAATTTAATTTTGAATTATTACTAAGGAATATATAGCTTCACTGATAATGTGATATTTAAAATTATTATAAAAAATTTATACTATGCTTTTTTTCTTAAATACTATGCTTAATTTATTAATAGCTTTAAAAATAGTATGTTAAGATAAGTATGTAATCTTTAATTAGAATATATTCATGAACAAGTAGGCAATTAAACAGAAATATATTATTTTATGTTACATTTTTCAGCTTCATCCAGGGTATAGTAATGGGAGATCTCAAGGCATAACTCTTTATGTAAGGTCAATGTGTGTCATTTCTCCTATAAAATATGCAGTAGGGCTTTTCATATAACAAAAAATGTCAGTGCTAAGAGCATTCTGCCATTTTCTTCGGTTTTAAGAACTGTAGAAGGAGCTGTGGGCAGGCCTGCTTTTTGTCCCACCCGGCTTCCGCACAGCTAGCTTAGCCCTGGAAATAACGACACACAAACTGTATTCATTTAAACACTGTCTGGCCCATTAGTTCTAGCCTCTTATTGGCTAACTCTCTCATCTTGATTAACCCATTTCTAATAATCTGTGTACCACCACAAAGTGGTGGCTTATCGGGAAGATTATAACCATCGTCCATCTTGGGTAGGAGAAGCATGGCAACTGCCTCATTGCCTTCTTCCCAGCATTCTGTTCTGTCTACTCTACCCACCTAATTTTCTGCCCTATTAAAAGGCCAAGGCAGTCTCTTTATTAACCAATGAAAGTAGCACATAGACAGATGACCCTCGCACATCAAAGAACTATTTCTAAAAATATATAAGTATTAAATCATTTACTTAAAATGGAAAAAGATATTTAGTCATTTTCTGAGATAATACTTTCAATTCTAAATAATGGAGTTTTCAATTTTTAATTAAGAAAATATTATTTTATAGTTTTATGACATAAAACTGTAGTTATGAACTTTTAGAATAACAACTTGTCTACTTAATGATTTTTAATATTTTCTGAATTGAACAACCCTGTGAGTTCGGCAGCTATATCTTGTCATTCTTTACTGAACAAATAAACTGGACTTCAAAAGAAGTGGTTACCCATGGTTGTACATTTGTGAGAGAATGAAGCCTTCACATCTATATCTTAATATCTCAGAAAGAGGTTTTCTCTCCATTTGATAGCATAGTTTTCTCCCAGTATAATACTTATGCTGAAGCCAAGAGGGAGTTTATATCACATTCTTTTTTCTAACACATCAACACTGTGTTTGATAATAATTTTCCATTTATCTTCTTCTGTACCCCTCAGCAGTAGAAACAACTCACTGTTTCATGTAGTGATAAGAATTCTTAGCTGTTAATGCCTATAGTGTAATAGATTTTGTTTTGGGTATACCATTTCATGTGCAAATTTTAAGACTCTACAACTCATACTTAAGCTATATCAATATTATTTATGATATAGTTAAATAAATACACTATATAATATATATATATTTTGTATATACATGTTGTTTATGCATACATGCACTGCATATATGTGTGTATAAATTTTCATAAATAATAATGTATTTCTGATAGTGTACCAGGCTTTTTCTTTTGGGCCTCCAACCACCTCCCAAATGATGACATGGAGACTTATTAGTTTTGAATGCTTGGCCTAGTTTAGGCTCATTTCTGGCTAGGTCTTTTAACTTAACATGTTTTATCTACCTTTTGCTTTGGAATTTTTTACTTTTATTTCTGTATGTCTTACTTTCACTGCTTCTCATGTCTGGTTAGGGCTGCCAGGTTTCGTGCCCCAGGCTTGTCTCTCTCTTTCTTTTTGTTCTCTCTTCCTCTTCTTCTCTCTTTCTTTTTCAGGCTGGATTTCTTCTACTACTAATTCTTTTTGCCTACCAGCTCCGCCTGTCCTTTCTATGCCTAGTTCTTTATTAGACCAATCAGGTGCCTTAGGCAGGCAAAGTGAAACAGATGCAACACATCTTTACATAATTAAACAAATGCAACATAAACAAAAGTCACACACCTTTACACAGCTAAAGTAATATTCCACAGCATCACATCGTTGTCAGTTAAAATAATATTCTACAACATGATAGCATCTCTTTTAATGCAAGGAGAATACTAGAAGTGCTTTATGTCCACACGTCACTCTTACCTTCCTAATGCTATGACCCTTTAATATAGTTCCTCATGTTGTGGTGATCCTCCACTGTAGTTATTTTCATTGCTACTTCATAAGTGTAATTTTGCTACTGTTATGAATTGTGATGTAAATATCCGATATGTGACCCCCGTGAAAGGGTTATTTCCTAAGGGATTGCAGCCTACAGGTTGAGAATCATTGACTTAGACAGTCACACAATTGATGAACTCTGGTTGGTAGAAATTTGATTTTAAGGTTGTCTTAGCATCTACTGATAATAAGCATCAAGTACAATGATTAACTTTTTGTATGAACTCCTTTTAGCAAACATAGATTTTGAGGGTTTTTAGGTTGCTTTAACTGTTTGGTATTTTGTCTCCCTATTGTGATTTAAGTGGCTGTATATTATAACTTTATTAGAAAACACCACTGCACAAGTGACATCCACAGGAAGTCTCATATTTCAGAACTTTGAGGAGACCATGACTGGGGTTTATACATGTTTCCTCGAGTACAAACCGACTGTGGAAGAAATTGTTAAAAATGTTCAACTGAAATACATTGTTTATGGTAAGAAGCAAATTTAATTATGTTTTAACATATCTTAATGTTTTGAAATGTTTAAACCTTTTAACAGGTTTGTCATTATATATATTTTTATAATTTAAAAAGTTTTTAAATTTAAATATATCTTGGTCATATTCTTTCCCTCTCCCAAGTTTTTCCAGATCCTCTCCCCATCTCTACTTACCTTACCTTAAGTTCTTTCTCAAAAAACAAAATAACCAATGCAACAACAGGATGCCCCAAACCAAGAAAACAAAGCACCACCTCCAAACAAACAAACAAAAAACCAAAACAAACCCTCCTAACTGTATCCAAATAAAAGCACACAAAAAACCTGTGGGTCCATTATATGTTGGTTAACTGTTTTTGAACATGAGACTTGAACTGGAATGTTTCGTACCACCTAGTGCCACTCTATTGGAGATGACTCATTTTCTCTCTCCTAGCATGTGTAAATGATATTTCAGTTAACCTTACCTCTAGTGGCTAGGTTTCTTTCTTCCCTCCCTCCCTCCCTCCCTCCCTCTCTCCCTCCCTCCCTCCCTCCTTTTTCCCCTCCTTCCTTCCATTTCTTCCTTCTTTCACTTCTTTCTTTTGTTTCTTTCATGAATGCATTTAAGAATAAAACAATATATGATGAAACAAAAGCTATCACATCAACGTTAGACGAGACAAACCAACAGAAGGAAAAGAACCCAAGAGAAGGCAAAGGAATCAGAGACCCAGTCATTCACACTCAGGAATCCCTTAAAAATGCAAACCTGTGCAGGCCTGTGCCTGCTGCTTCAGTTTCTGTGTATTCCTATGGACTTTGCTTCCATTGCTTTAGAGGACCTTGTTTCCTTGGTGTCTTCAATACCCTCTGGCTCTTACACTCTTTCTGACTCTTCTTCCTCGGGGTTCCCTATGCCCTGAGTGGAGGGATTTGATGGAGACTTCCCATTTAGGGCTGAGTGTTTCTGGGTCTCTCACTCTATGTGATTTTTGTCTGTGTGTCTCTATATTTGTTCTCAGCTGCTGCAAGGAGGAAGCGCCTCTGATGATGGCTGAGCAATGAGTGTAGCTGAATATCATTAGGAATCATTTTCTCACTACATTTTCTCTCTTCCTGCCTCCCCTCTCTGTATTATTTACTTTTTTCCTAGGTCCTTGAATCCTATCTAGTCTTAGATTTTTGGTCACTCAAACAGTGTTGGGTGGGCATGATTTCCATCTTCTGTAGTGGGACTTAAGTCAAATCATTTATTGGTCTGTTACTCCCACAAACCTTGTGCCACCATTGTCCTCGCATATTTTGCAGGTAGTACACCATTGTAGATAAAGGGTTTGTGACTAGCTTGGTGTTTATGTTCCTCTTTTGAGGGCCTGCAGAGTACTTTCCTGTACCAAAGATGCTATAATATGGGGGTGATGGCTGTGTATAGACACTGGCTTGACATCACCACGTTCAAAGAGTTGTGTAGGCATTGTTTTCAGAAATGGGGCCTTGCTGTCAGTTTGTGAAGAGCAACTTATAGTCTTGAAAATAACCTGGATTGTAATCTAATTGTAATTGTAATGTAATGTAATTCATATGGGGGCTCCTTCAGCCAAGAACTCAATTAGATGTAAGCCCATTCTGGTACCAGAGGCATCATTTCATGATAAGAAATGGGCAACTGGGACTCTGTCTCCCCACTGTTTGGTGATTTCATTTAGATCACTTTCATATATGTGTATATTTAAGGAAATTTGTACTGTATTAGGCTTACATACTATCTCTCAATAGGCGTTTAATTTTAGCTGTCTCTTCCCTATTCTTCTCACTTTCCTGCTTGATCTCATTCCAGCGTCCCCTTCCATTTATATCTATTATATTTCCCTTTCCTAACAAGATCTGTCTGTTCCCTCTAGTCCCTTATTCTACCCTTTGTGGTTCTATAGCTTGATTATCATTGCTGTAGCAACTAATATCTACATATAAATTAATATATTTGTTTTTCTGGGTCTGGGATACCTCACTTAGGATGGTTTCTTTCTAGTTCGTTCCACTGTAGTGTTAGCCTGTCCTGGAACTAACACTTGTAGACCAGACTGACCTTGAACTCACAGAGATCCACCTGCCTCTTCTTCCTGAGTGTTGGGATTAAAGGCAATGTTACTACCACCCAACATTTCATTTTTTTCACTTTTTATTTATTTTTTAAAAAGAAAGCAAACTATCTTTCTTCATTTTACACACCAATTCTAGCTCCTACTCCTTTCCCTCCTCCCATTCTTCCATCTACCCCTCCACCCCTGCAACCATCCACTCCTCAGAGAGGATAAGGCACATTTCTTTGGGGAACCTCCAAAGCCCTCTCTACTGTATTCAGGCTGAGCAAGATATCCATCCAAAGAGAATAGGCTCCCAAAGTACAAGTACAAGCAGTAGGGATAAATCTTTGTCCCACTGCCAGTGGCCCCACAGTCAGCCTCAGTCACACAACTGTCACTACATTTAGAGGGACTAGCTTGTACTATGCTGTTTCCTTCCCTGTCCAGCTGAAGTTGGTGAGCTCCCATTAGCTCAGGTGAACTGTTTCAGTGGGTGTCTCCATCATGGTCTGGACCCCTCAGCTCATATTCTCATTACTCCCACTCTTCAACTGAACTTTGGGAGCTCAGTTCAGTGCTCCAAAGCACATCTCTGCCTCTGTTTCCATCAGTTGCTGGATGAAGGTTCTATGGTGATATTTAAGATATTCATCAATCTGACTACAGGGCTAGGCCAGTTTAGGCACTCTCTCTTGCTTAGGGTCTTAGCTGGGGTCATCTTTGTGGACTCCTGGGAATTTCCCTAGTGCCAGGTTTCTTGATAGCCCCACAATGGCTCCCTCAATCAAAACATCTCTTTCCTTGCTCTCATCTCTGTACTTCCTCCATCTCAACTATCTCATTCCCTCAAGTTCTCCTCCCTCCTCCCTTTCTCCCCTTGTCTTACCCTCTTCTGCCCTCACTATTTCCCCCTGCCAATGCTCCCAATTTTTTCAGGTGATCTCATCTATTTCCCCTTTCCAGGTGGATCTATGTATGTTTTTCTTAGGGTTTACCTTGTTACTTAGCTTATCTAGGGTCATGAACTATAAGGCTCAATATCCTTTGCTTTACAGCTAGTATCCACTTATGAGTGAGTACAAGATCAAAAACACCAATGATAGCTTATGCTGGATATGGTTGTAGAGCAAGGGGAACACTCCTCCATTCCTGGTGGGAATGCAAACTTGTGTAATTACTTTGGAAATCAGTATGGTGGTTTCTCAGAAAACTGGGAATCAACCTACCTCAGGACCAAACAATAACACTTTTGGGCATATACCCAAAGGATACTCAGTCATCCTACAAGAACATTCGTTCAACTATGTTCATGGCAGCATTATTTATAATAGCCAGAACCTGGAAACAACCTAGATGCCCCACAACAGAAGAGTGGATAAAGAAAATGTGGTAAATTTACACATTAGAATATTACTCATTGGTAAAAACAATGACATCTTGAAATCTGCATGCAAATGGATGGAATTAAAAAAAACCATCCTGAGTGAGGTAAGCCAGACCCATAAAGATGAGCATGATGCCATTTTTAATGGCTAGGTAATACTTCATTATGTTACTGTATCACATTTTCTTTACCTAGTCTACTGGTAAGGTACATCTAGGTCTTTCCATTTCTGCTATTAGGAATTTAAGAAGGTAGTTTTATTTTTAAAGACAATTTTTTTAAGTCTTTGGGTTTATTTATTTATTTATTTATTTATTTATTTTGGTGTTTCAATACAGGGTTTCTCTGTAGCTTTGGAGCCTGTCCTGGAACTGGTTCTTGTAGACCAGGCTGGCTTCGAACTCACAGAGATCCGCCTGTCTCTGCCTCCTGAATGCTGGGATTAAAGGTGTGCGCCACCATCGTTTTTAACAAGATTAAAAAAGAAGAACTTTGCTGTTTTTAGTTTTCTAATTAAAAGAATTCCCGCTCAAATTGTGTTGTGTGTCTTAATAGCAAGGGGACAGACTGGTTACCAGGGCAGCCTTTTAGTCATTTTAGTCAGCCAGGCAAAGCCGCATACAGAACCATGTTTTCAAATTACAGTGATAACAGTGATCATAGTTTGAACTGCTTTTCAGTTCTGAGTGTCATGGTTGATGGTTCACTGCATCCTCATTATTAGGACCAGGAAGCATACTATATATCCCTCATCTTAGATTATTTTACTGAGGAAAAAAATTGAGAGGGCTGGTTTGATATGAAATAAAAGAAAAAATAACATAAACTACAGTTACTTAGAAGTTTAATCAAACTGCTGTGACCCTGCTTAATAGACTGAAAAATGGCAGACCAAGAGGTGTCCATGCTCCTTTCAGAGCATGTGAGCATAAGCATACATGATGAAAGGGACGTGGCCTTTCTGTTCTTGCTCTCACCTGTCTTGTGCTAACTGTAGTAGTATTTTTGTAAACTGTTTGGCTTAGGAGTTAATTTTTTAAAGATTTATTTTGGTAATTATAGTTAAAGATAAATGTTTGCTATTATTTTAATTTTATCCTTCGTTGTTGATATGTTTGTCTGTCATCTAAATATTTGTATCTTTGTATCTACTCTAATTTAACTTCCTACCGACTGGTGCAATCCTTCTGCTTTATTCTTGTGAATGCTGGAAATGCAGGTATGAACCAGTGTACCTGTCTGTTACTTTCCTTATTTTCAAACCATTTGTCTTATAGCTCATCATGTTTTATGCATTATATTTTAATCATTATATTTAGAATATTAAATTCATTTTAATGCTTTCTACATCAGTTTTCTTTTAGGCTCTTCTAAAAAAATTAAAAATACTGATTTATATTTTCTTGAAGTTAGGGTGTTGGTAATTTTTGGCTTTCATTTGTTTGTCAATGAAAACTACTAGGTTTCCTTTGCAACTAAAAGCTGCCAACCTCTGAATTAAGTTTGGGAGTAGTAAGTGTGTTTAACTTTTAAGCAAAGGTAGGAAAATGGGCAGTGGTGAGGGATGTCAGTATGAATAGAGGACTCTTGCTCAAAATGTGATCCAGAAGCAGCAAAGTAACTCTTGTTTCACAAGGTGATCTTTTTTTATTTTCATTATATATTTATTGTATCTTTCCAGTAAGATTTTGAGATTTGCTTTAAATATATGTATCTTCAATTCCAGATATTGTACTGGAATTAACTAAAACTAACTGTATATATTTATTAGAATTATATTTTAAAAAGTATTGTTGCTAATTATATCTCTAGAATATCATATAAGAATTAATATTTTAAAACAGAACAGTTTGATTTCTTCTAAAATATAAATTTAAAAAGGTATGATGCCAGTATTTGAACAGGCGTAGAGTGAGACCAGCCTTCCTAGGTTTGAAAATTAGCCTTGATAACATTGGCAGTACACACAGCAAGATTCTTGTGTCCTGATTCCTTTGTTCCAGATACAATAATAAGAATGTGAATCTTAAATGATGGCGAGGGTTAAATGAGTCACCGTTTTAGAATCCCTGTGATAGTATTTAATACCGACTTACTATGAGTGAGGCTTTGTTAAGGAAGGCAAATGTAGCTGTTTATAGGAAATGAATATGAATTTGTTCCAAATAATTGTTTATTTGAAACAGTCACAATGCACTTGAATTGCCTGAATGATGATGTTTTTGTCTTTTCTTTTTAATGTTTGTAGCTTATCGTGAACCTCATTTTTATTACCAGTTCACAGCACGGTACCACGCGGCTCCCTGCAATAGTATCTATAACATTTCTTTTGAGAAGAAACTTCTTCAGATTTTAAGTAAACTGGTTCTTGACCTTTCCTGTGAGATTTCCTTGCTGAAATCTGAATGCCACCGTGTTAAAATGCAGAGAGCTGGTCTGCAAAATGAATTATTCTTCACATTTTCAGGTAAATATACAAAATACTTTTAAGAAAGACAATTTGGAAACAACTGTTTCCAAACCAACTATTTAGAATATGAATGTTACAAATCTAAATGTATTTATATCTTCCTCTCGAGTTTGACTTAATGCTAAAATGCCTCCAAATAAAATCCTGCTGATTCATGCCATTAGCGAAAAGTGTGCTGTGTCACTTCACTCTTGAGTGGAAGTCAGAGTAAGGGTCTGTAGTGTTTAGTTATAGGGATGAGTCAGTGGAAGCATTGCTTGTAACGTGGTGAACATTTCAGACACCTCATCCCATTTCATGTGTTGTCATTAGTGCTGGAGAGAGGAGGAATTGTCTCAGGAACAACCATCCATGCCCACTTAGAGAATGTTCTTCTCCTCCTCGTTTACGCCTCTTTCTCCTTTATTTGTTGTGTAGAATCTAATTTTGGCAGAGACTGTAGCAAGGCATGGAACTTCAAAGGCAGGAGCAAGATAAACTCTTATCTTGTGTAATTCTTGCTTTTCTCTTCTCCAGGGAAATTTCATTGGTTTTCACCAACCTCAAGGCAGATGGTCAGCCTAAGCATTGCTTATCCTGTCAAGGACATGCTAGTTGTATATGAAGGCTTTGTGAATCTTTGTTTCCTGTTTGTTTTCATTACGTGGACAAACTCTTAGAAAATTTACAAGATGAGATCCAGGGTAAATGTTGCAGTTGTGAGCCAGCTCTCTGTGTCCTCAAATGACTGATACTTTGCAGTATTTTTTTTTTTAATGTGTTAAGTGGTCATTCATTTATCTTTTTGGAAAATTGTTAACTCTGATTCCTTTTTACCTTTTAGATTGTGGGGATATTTTTTCTTTTCTTTTGTGCTTTTAATGTTGTGTTTAGAAACCTGAGGTCATTAAGGACTGTTTCCTTTTAGTCCTTTTTTTCCCTGTTTACATTAAGATGCATTTTGAGCTAATTTCTGTAAATAGTGAGATCCGGGTTTGACTTTATGCCTTTGATATATGAAGGGTTATGAAATCATAAAGAAGAATGAAATCATGTCATTTTATGTGAAATTATTGCAATTGGACATCATATTAAGCAAAATCAGTCACAGATATTATATATTATGGTATACTTTATTATTTTATAGTTGTTATTGTTCCATTATTCGTGTCTTCCTTTGTCTTCAAGCTCTGATGTTCTGAATTATGTTTGATCAGGTGTTCCATTAATTTTTTTTAAATTTATTTACTTATTATATATACAATATTCAGTTTGTGTGTATGCCTGCAGGCCAGAAGAGGGCACCAGACCCCATTACAGATGGTTGTGAGCCACCATGTGGTTGCTGGGAATTGAACTCAGGACCTTTGGAAGAGCAGGCAGTGCTCTTAACCGCTGAGCCATCTCTCCAGCCCTCCATTAATTTTTTTAATTTGACCTACTGAACTTTTTAATTTCTAAAATTTCCTTTTTTTTAAATTTTTTTTATTGCGAAAAGAAGAAAAAAAAACATAAACAAAAAACAAGTTTCCACCTCCTCCCAGCCTCCCATTTCCCTTCCCCTCCTCCCACCCTTCTCCCCCTCCTCCCACCCTTCTCCCCCTCCTCCCACCCTTCTCCCCCTCCCCCCACTCCTCTCCCCGCCCCTCCCTCTCCAGTCCACAGAGCAGTCCGGGTTCCCTGCCCTGTGTTAAGTCCTAGGTCCTCCCCCCTCCGTCCATATCTAGGAAGGTGAACATCCAAACTGGCTAGGCTCCCACAAAGCCAGCACATTAAGTAGGATCAAAACCCCCTGCCATTGTCCTTGGTGTCTCATCAGCCCTCATTGTTCGCCATGTTCAGAGAGTCCGGTTTTATCCCATGCTTTTTCGGTCACAGTCCAGCTGGCCTTGGTGAGCTCCCCGTAGATCAGCTCCACTGTCTCAGTGGGTGGGTGCACGCCTCGTGGTCCCGAATTCTTTGCTCATGTTCTCCCTCCTTCTGCTCCTCCTTGGGACCTTGGGAGCTCAGTCCAGTGCTCCTGTGTGGGTCTCTGTCTCTATCTCTATCCATCACCAGATGAAGATTCTATGATGATATGCAAGATATTCGTCAGTATTGCTCTAGGATAGGGTCATTTCAGGTTCCCAATCCTCAGCTGCCCAAGGAACTAACTGGGAACCTCATCTTGGGCACTAGGGAGCCCCTCTAGGGTCAAGTCTCTTGCCCACCCTAAACTGGCTCCCTTAACTAAGAATTGTGGTTCCGTGCTCCCCTATCCACCTTTCCTTTATCCCAATTCTCCTGTTTCCCAGGTCCCCCCTCCTTCCCTTCTACCTTTACTCTCCCCATCTCCCTTTACCCCCATCCCACCCCATCCCCAAGATCCCATTTTTCTTTATTTCTGTTTCTTTATTGAAATCTCCATTTATGTCCTGTATCAGCTTAGTTATTACTTTTAGCTGTTGGTATTCTCAGTGAATTCATACAGTTTACTGGTGACTTTTTTGATTTTTTTAATAGTCTTAGAATAGTTCTAGAGAATTCTTTTGTTTTCCCAAATTCTCTCACTTTATTCTATTGCTATAGAAGTAAACGTGTTTGGAGGAGTCATGCTGCCTTAGTTTTCATAATCCTTATGTTTCTGCATTAGAACTTGTACATGTGGGATTTGATCTTCTGGCTGATTTTGTCTCTCTTATCACATATATTCTTTCATTGCAAGTATTTTCAATGTTTGGGGTAGGAGGAATAACTGTAATAGATTGAAGTATCATTGGTTCCCACTGCCCTCAGTGTAAAACTCAGCTAAACTCTCAGCTCCTGCTAGGGTACCTGGGTTGATCTCAAAAATCACCTAAAAAGTAGAATACTGTCTGCAACAGAAGCCCCACAACTGTTAGATATGCCAGCTATGAAAACAGACACTCTGGGGCAACCAATGTTCTTGAGAAATCTTTGAAAAAGAACAAAGAGGATATGATATGGTAGATCTGTTCTGCTGAGTAGGACTTGAACACTCCATAAGGTAAATACAAAAAGAAGGAAAGAAATCTGGGTAGAGGTGCGGTCTGTCTGTAGTTTTGTACCTGACCATGGAAGCTAGGCTTGATTCTGAACAGTTTTGGGTGGTTTCATGGGGGTGTGGTATGTATACCAAACCTACCAGTGTGAAGTTCACTGTCGGCATGGGGTTGGGACCTGGGTAGATGAGCTGCCTCCAATTAGTCCTTTGTGGGGGTAGGGACAGATCATGGTTGTTGGTCCTGTCTATTTGGAGTTTCTCAAAGGGGCAGGATTGGGTTCCAGATCTGTCTCTAAATGGTCTACTTTGGTCTGTGTCTCAGGCCAGATATCCTTCTCATGGAACACTGGATTAATTCTCACTCAAAATCACAAAATTTCCTTCTCTATTTAGAAGCATTCTGAAGGCCAGGCCTCAGACTATAGTCCTGGGACAGGTTTGCTCTCTGAGTTTCCAGCATGAGTCTTGCAGTCTGCTCCCTTTGTGTGTATAGCTAGCTGCTCAGCCACTGAGCAGCCACTGAGTCCTTTAAGAATGCCTTTTTTTTTTTTCTGGGTGGTGGTGCACACCTTTAATCCCAGCACTCAAGATGCAGAGGCAGGCGAATCTTTGTGAGTTCAAGGCCAGCCTGGTCTATAAGACTAGTTCCAAGACAGGCTCCAAAGCTATAGAGAAACCCTGTCTCAAAAAACCAAACCAAACCAAACCAAAACAAACAGACAAACAAAAAAATGCCTTTTTTTCCCTCACTGTGTCACTGATCTAGTGGAGTAGCAATAACAGGCTTTCCCCAGTACTAATTCTCTGGTAGAGCAACTCTCATGCCTTGTCTCCTCCCCTGCCCACCTTTGTGTAAATATGTTCATCAGACTATGGTGAGGGCCCTCTGAGAGCTCTGTCCATAGTCGTTGTTCTGACATTATGATTGCATTGTCAGTGTTAATAAGGCTCTGGAAGTGACCCTGTACTCTGCTGTTCTGCTTTCTTTCTCTGCTGCTGAAAGGAATGCTTTTCTCTGAGCACTCACTTCACTGGACGTTTGTTCTCCAGCGACTCGGCTGTGCTGAAGATACTGTAGTGGGTCCTGTCTGGATGCAGTCTGCCCTCCTTTGTAATCTTGTTGCTCAGTTTATTTTACTAGTTATAGTCCTAGAATCATGACGGGTGGTGAGAGGGAACGCGTTTGCCCTGTTCCTTCGTGAAGCCCTATGATTTTTCGGTCTCAACTATGGTGGTGACTGCAGTTTGTTGTAGAAGTTCTTTATTTAGCTGAAGAAATTTGACACAGTCACAGCTACTGATATTTAACAAGAATGAAATTGGGCTCATGCAGTGCTCTCCCCTCTCCGTTTTCCTTAGTGGTGTGCTCTTATGATGGTTTCTCTTCGCATTGTCATGTGGAGCCTGGTGTAAATTCTGATGGATTACCTCATATTGTTCTTTTGATATATTGTTGGATTTGATTTTATATTGTTGAAATATTTTACATATATGTTCAGAAGACTTATTGGTCCTAAGTTTTCCTCTTTTGTAATGTATTTATCTGAGTTTTGTATCAAGGTAAATAGTTCATTGTGAGATATCATCAGATAAATAATCCCTAATGCATTAATTTATTCTGGAGTAAATACATTCATTTTGGGGATATATTGTAAGCGTTGGTAAGCTTTTTTACTTATAAATTTTCTTCTTTGACATATTTATATGCATGTGTAATGTATTTTGGTTACTCTTCCCCCAACCCTCCCTTATTTTCGTCTTACCTCTGCTAGCCCCTATTATTCCTTATGGAATTTTTCCTCATGTTAATTAACTTCTGTTCTGTGACTAGCAGAGTTCAACTAGGGCTATCTGTGTGATCCTGGGTTTGGAGCTATCCTTTTCAATTAGCTGTGCTCAAGCAGCCATACAACTAGAAACTATGCTTCTTTGTCTGCGGGAATCCATTGATCACTAATAAACCTCGAGTTATTAGTACTGGTAATGAGCCCTGTCCCCACCCACAGTTGACTGTTAGAAGAGCTTGACTGTGTGGACCTAGTGCCAGTATACACAACTGAACTCAGGTCTTCTAGAAAAGCAGCAATTGCTCTTAATCTCTGTGCCATTTCTCCAGTCCCCTAGTCACCATCTCAGTGATATCTACTCTAATTTGGTATATGGTTTCTTCTTCTTTTAACCAAATCTGCTTAATTTTTCCAATTTCCTATACATAAGTTTCTATTGAAATCGATCTTACTTTTGTCTAAAAATGTATTCATTGTTATTATTGTACATTAGTATATTTGTATGCGGGCATATGTGCACATATGGAGGCCAGAGGATCCCTTTGTGGGGTTGGTACTCTCTTTCTACTTCTCTATAGATCCTGGGAGCAAACTCAGGTCTCAGGTTGCTTCCTTTACCTACTGAGCCATTTGCTATCCCCAATGTCTTTTCTAATATTTGTTCTCAATGGTATAAATAACCTATATTTTTTACTATAAATTTCTTTTTACTTTTTACCTTATATCACAGAGTTTGGTAAGTTTATTTTACTTTTATTAAGTTAAATTATTTACTTTTTTATATTTCATATGTTATACATTAATGTGTTTCTCCATGTCCAAATATTTCAGGATTTTCAATCTGCTTCTCTCTTACTGATTTCTAGCTTACTTTTTGAACTGGATGCATAATTTGCATGCTTTCTAGTTTCTTTTTATTAAATTTTTTTTATTAAAAATTTCTGCCTCCTCCCCGCCTCCCTTTTCCCTCCCCCCACTCCCCACTCCCCTCCCCTTTCCTCTCCAGTCCCAAGAGCAGTCAGGGTTCCCTGCCCTGTGGGAAATCCAAGGACCACCCACCTCCATCCAGGTCTAGGAAGGTGAGCTCCAAACAGGCTAGGCTCCCACAAAGCCAGTGCATGCAGTAGGATCAAAACTCAGTGCCATTGTCCTTAGCTTCTCAGCGGCCCTCATTATCCACCATATTCAGAGAGTCCGGTTTTATCCCATGCTTTTTCAGTCCCAGTCCAGCTGGCCTTGGTGAGCTCCCAATAGATCAGCCCCACTGTCTCAGTGGGTGGATGCCCCCCTCGCGGGCTTGACTTCCTTGCTCATGTCTCTAGTTTTTAATATTTCAAACTGCATTTTATGACTCAAATGGAGTAGGTTCATTCTGAATGCTTCATATGAGTTTGAGAATAACATGTGTTCTATGTTACTACATGACAATGTCTCTAAGTATTATTTGTTCAGTTATTAAAAGATGCTCTGTGAGTTAGCTCTATGTATACTTTATATTCTGGTTTCTTTGTTTTTCTGTTACTTATAGAGGAATATTGAGAGATAATAGTAGATTTTGTTATTTTTCTAACAGTTCTAAAAATTTTGTCCTCAAATTGTGTGTCTGTGTTTATTTGTTTGTTTGTTTCATGTGTACATGCGAGGCTAGAGATTGGCCTTGGGTATCATCCTCTGTCACTCTGCAATCTACTTTTGAAATGGGCTCTCTCCTTATATGTGCACTTTGCTGTCTTACTAGTTCGACTTGTCAGGACCTGCCTTCCTCTGTACATGAGTTCTGCAGTTACAGATATATGTCATTGTCACCACCCCAGCCCTCGCTGTTGTCATCTGAGTACCAGGGTTCTGAATTTGGGTCTCTACTTTATTCAACTGTCAAATACCTTTACTCAAGACATAGATAACAGGGATTCTTAAACCTTTGTAAAGATTGATCCTACTTTCATTATGTGATGACAGTATTGTTCCTTGAAATCAGGTATAATATTTTTCCTTATTCTGATTTCTATTTTGCATGAAAGAAACACCATATTTCTAGCTTCTTTTGTATTCATGTTAACTGCAATGAACCTTTTCTTTTCCCTATGTTCTATGTGTATCCTTATTTTTAAGATAGGCCTCTATGGAAACTTATACTCTGGCCTTAAAAATCAAATGATAATTCCTATTTTATTTCGTATTGTATAGCCCCTATATGTGGCACATTAATTGTCCTTGGTCCTTTCTGAATTATTTCTTTCTCTTTCATATCTGATGTTTGATTATAGCATATTACATGGTATACATGTAGGCTCCATCTCTATGCGTGTGAAAATTTATATCATGTTAGATTTGAGGCAGTTTGGCTGTTATTTACTCAAATATTTGAATGTTGCATCTCTCCTTCCTCCCCTCATGTCCTATGAGTAGGCTGGTGAACTTGTCCCATGATTCTTTATGCCTGTTTCCCTTTTGTTCTTTCTTTTCTTTTAGTCAGATTTTAGTGACTTATCTTTAAGTTCTCTAATTATTTCTCCAGACTGCTCAAATATGTTGTTTTAATCTTTTAGTGAATTTCTCTCAGCTATAATTCTATGCACTAGAGCTATTGGATGACAAGTTCATAATTTATTTTTATGTTATTAATATTCTTGTCATGACAAACTGTTCTGTTTTCTTTATTCATTCGTCTATAATTTCCTTCAGCTCTTTAAGCATATTAAAAATTGTCCTCAGAGTTTAGAATCTGTGCTCTTTCAGGTAACCTATATCTTCGCGGGACATTAGAGTTAGTAAATATGTGCGCAATTACACAACTCCATTGGAAAATTATTTCTGTTTGAAGGATTGTTGGGAAAATGAGCCAATTAATAACATGCATACAGATGACATATGATTTATTAGAAAATAGTCTAGAATAGCCAAAGGATGCAAGAGGTATTTATGGAAAATTACCAGAAATAATATTGGCTATTTTATAAGTAATTTTAATTTGAAAACTGAAGTACAGTTTTCATTATATTCTCTTAGTTGTAAATAATGACTAAAATGACAAAGCAGAGCCTGTTTTGCAGAGTATGAAAGTCTTAAGATATTAAATCCTATGTTTATGAATTAATTATAGATCTGAGGTTACAAGTAAGAATACTTCATATATTTTTATTGGTAGTGGGAATTAACAAAGGTGTTTGGGTATGAGATTGACATTCTACTCTGTAAGGATTAGCTGTTGTAAATTCTTATAGAGCCTGCTTCTTACCCAAGATTTCAGACTGAAGTCTTAGTACAGCAGGAATTTCCTCAGTGACCTTGCAGAGATGCTCATTAGTCCAATATTCCTTTGCCCATTGAGTTTTCCTAATGCTTGCTTGTTTATTGCAAATGAATAGAATTATAGTTTCCATATAGTTTCTCCTATATGTGTATAAATAAAAATGTACCTATATGCATGACCATGCTTATTATATTGCTTTAAATGGCCACAACCATAGTCCAATCTCGTAGCATATCTAATATTGTTATTACAGTTTATCTTTCCATTTTTAATTTGTACTTACACGTAGAGCATTGAATTAGGGTAGTGATACCCAATATATAATATATATATATATATATATATATGTATATATGTATATATATATGCATGGAGGTTGACAGAGAATGACTGTGTGTGTGTGTGTGTGTGTGTATATATATATATATATATATATATATGGTTATAATACATTGTAAAAGTTGAAATAATTCTGTAAAATTAAAATATCCCAGCATCAGTTACTGAGGAACTTAATTCCTAAGATGATTGTAGAAATGAACATTTTATGATTTATATAAACAAATATTTGACTTAGGATTTTGCTGAAATCCTTAGCATTAGAAAATCCAGCCTTTTATCCTGGGAGAGATGTAGTTGACAAGTGATATTTTATTTTTCAAAATTTAAGTAGCTTGGTATAATATATCAGAACAAATATAAAATATTATATATTTTCTCAGTTTCATCTATAGACACTGAAAAAGGACCCAAGCCATGTACAGACCATAATTGTGAATCTTCCAAAAGATTATCTAAGGTATGTTATGATCTGGTGGAAACGAAGAAAAAAATTGAGTGGAAATGCCCAGTGTTTAAAGATTCATCATAATTAGTCTTTGTTTTAGCTATTTGTAAAATACATTGAGGCCCACAGTAAGTGCTTCCAACAATGAAGTAAAACTTCACCCACTAGAAAATAAGAAATCAATATAATTGAAATTTGACAGACTACTTTATATTTAATATTGTATATCTAAAGAATGGTTTTTCATTTATTTGGCCTTATTTCGTATGGCTAGTTTATATTAAGGAGAAATCATGGCTGTAATTCTTCCAGTTGTTTCAGTTTCCATAGATGTTTACATATTGGGCTTATATAGTGGTATTTTGCTACTCACTTGTTAGAATAGTTATTTCATAGATATTTAGTATTTTTGTGCAATCATCATATTGTCCACAGGTAGAGTGTTACATGTTTCTCTTAAGTCTTTACTCATTTAGCTGAACTAATCTGAATGGGTAGAGTCAGTACAAAGATGAACAGACGTGATGAGACTAGAGATGTTTTGTCTCTAGACTTAAAACATTTAGTCTTCAGCAGTCAAGTCTTATAGCAGCTGTACATTTTCTTTTTAGTTGAATGATGTTCTCTTCTACTTTTCATTGACTGGATTTTACTATGAATGACTTAAATTTTGACTAGTATGTTTAACAAACACATCAGTATTATATTTGTCAGAATCTTATGAAGGATTTTTCTTTTTGTTTTTGCTCATACATTGTTCTATGCAATGTGTGTTATAGGATTTGTAGTCATATTTTAAAACCCCTAGTACAATCCAGCATCAATTCTTTGAGCATTTTAGTGTAAACCTGTGTATGTGGTTATAGTTTAAAGTATATCTTTACAAGAACAGTAGGGTATAGATATACAGTATAATGTCATAATTTATGGATATTGATAGTGGTGTAATCTCATGATTTATCTGTCTTTTCACATTTATTTATATCCATTTCTGTGTGACAGACTATATACAGCTACAGTTTGGGGTAGTATCATATATCCACCACTATAATAAAAACAAAGAACTGCTTCAAACTGGATCTTTGATGTCTGTTTTGTTTTGTTTTGTTTTCTTGAGACAGGGTTTCTCTGTAACTTTGGAGCCTGTCCTAGAACTAGTTCTTGTAGACCAGGTTAGCCTTGAACTCACAAAGATGCACCCGCCTCTGCCTCCCAAGTGCTGGGATTAAAGGCGTGTGCCACCACTGCCCAGCTTGATGTCTTTTTATAACCATATTTATGTCCCCATGACACTCTCACTGCTTCCTGAATCCTAGAACTCATTCTTCTATCCTCTGTTTTTAAATCTTCTCTATTAAAAAATATCTCACAAAGCTTTATTCAAGATTATTTATAAATAGATGATTGAAGGCTTATGATGATGTTATAGTTTATGTATATGTGTATATCTATACATTTATGTATGTATATAAAGTTAGGTTAACTTATGAAACAACACGTGGCATCTCTATTTTTGACTTATACCCCTTCCTCCCAAATGATCCTTTAATACTTGTTATATATTTGTGTGTTCATGTGTGTATATGTTTATGTATAACACATGTGGGAAAAATGTATTTGTCTTCCTTAGTTTTATTTAATATATATATTATATATTTTATAGCATAAATAATAAAAGCCCATACACAGATATTGCGTTTCAAGCTGAAAGATTAGAGAAGAAAAGCAGCCAAGCCTCTCAAGAGCTCTCATCTCTTACTAGTGCTCAGATCAGAGGGGTGATAAACTGAACCTCAGATTATATTGCTCTTCACCAAACCTCAGACTGAAACTGAGACCCTGAGCTCCTGTCTCCTCTTGTCTTATATTCCTCTCTAGTACTGGGATTAAAGGCATGTGCCACTGCCACCCAGCCTTTATGGCTAACTAGTGTGGCTGCTGGTATTAAAGATGTGTGCCACTACTGCCTGGCCTGTGTGGATGACTAGTATGGCTGCTTTGCATTCTGATGTTTAGGCAAGCTTTATTTATTAAAACAAATAAAATATCACTATATTTCCCCTTTTGGTCTAAAATAAAAAAGGAAGGCTATGACTAATACAAAAAAACTACATACAATAAGTACAGTAACTATATACAATATATACAGGCAGTAAGTACATCAATAATGTCTAGTTCATTTTCCTTTGACAAATTCAGAGAAAATACTCCATTATCTATCATATCTTGGTGAGTCCAAAGACTTGTACCTAATTTACTTTCTATCATAACTTGCATTGCCACCCAAAACTATCTTTTGATATCTCTCAAACTTATACACTTTACACTTCTTTGGTGAATTTCTTTTCTGAGTCTCATAAAAAAGGAAAACTATACTATGTAGCCTTCAACTACCTCAGAGACCCAAGAAGGAAATAGTGTTAACTGAGTAAGCAGAAAATGCAAGCTAACAACTTCCAAAAAATGTGAGAATGTAGAAACAGCTGGCTGCCTGGGGGAGTCACCCAAAGTTCCTCTGCAATGTTGGGGCATTCATCTTCAGCCTAAAGGCCTAGAATATTTGACAGACTTTTCTATGAAGCAGGATATTCTGAAGGGCTGTCTTGCCTTGACTTGTCAAGTTTTGGCAGTCATTCTCTTTTGTGTCCTGCTTGTCCAATTAGGAAAGAATACTATCAGAAGTTGAGGTAAGGGCTTTTTCTTGCTCAATGGCTTACTTTTGCCACAAAGAAAGTAAGCTCTATGTGGAGTTTCTTCAGTACCCATCATCTTTTTTGAAGTAGACTGGTGTTACTAGGAGCAGATATGCCACATTGTCATAAAAAGGAACCTATGGTATTAAGATATCTTAAATATCATATTTGGTAGATCTCTGAAGTATGTGAAAATTATCTGTCTATTTACAATATATCTCTGTTTGACCTTGAAAACATATCTAATATGACTACAAGTTTAGTTGTAATAGGTGACTAATTACTAACCTACATTTACTTATTATCCTAAACAGTTGGTAATAATAACTTTCAAGAAGTAGAAATTTGCATTATTGTTAAATGAGCTGTATAGGTACAATACCTTGAACAAGATTAGAAGTGTATTATGTACAGTATGTTTTAACAAAAGTAATCCTAAATTTGTATTAATATACAAATTTGTATACAATATACAAAATTCCAATCCAATATAAAATATTTAAAACTAGTAGTTGCTTTTAAAAAGTAGATTCAATAATCTACTCTTTTATCTTATTGTATTTGTATTCCTCTTTTTTTTTCAGAGAAAGAACTCTGAATGTAATCTCCTTTCTTCAACTTTCCTCCTGACTATAACCAATAATAAATTATAAACAACTCCCCTAAAAAAATGACAAATATTCATAATCTATTGAATGACCAAAAACCACCCACACCACCTCTTGAGAATGTGGGCATCATATTCTCAAATATATTTCCTGCTGTCTGGGGGTCACAGCATCTTTAGGGCATACTGAGAAGAAAATTTGGATTAATTGTCAAGTCCTGGGAGAGGTAACATTATCATTTGTTGTACAGTCTCTGCATAATGGGAAAAATGCAGGGTTTGTCGCAAGTCCTTCCTAGAGTAGTCTGTGAGGCTGGATGATCTCAGCTAGCCACCTTGAAATTCTTCTGAGCAGTTTGTAGTCCAAAGCTGATCCTTAGGTGTTGTTTTTCAGCTAAGTAGTATCATCATAGTCCTGGAGGAATCACTGTGGGACCCCATCCTCTTTTTGGAGACTTTGAAGTTCACTGCTAGGCCTGTTCATGGTTCACTGCAAAAAAGTGATAGAGACTCAAATCACAAATCATGTATAGGAAGATAGATGAAACCTTTTTCTAGAGTTAGCTAGTACTGTATAAGACAATTAATATCATTATAAAAAGTTTGGAATAAATATATATATATGTATATATATTAATGTTATATATTTTATACCGTAAGAAAAACTTTTAAAGAGTCAGTATAAGGCCAAAGGATTATGCAATTAGTGACAATAAAATTGTCTTTAAATATTTGTTTTTATTCTGCCCTATATCAGGTGGCTTTTCTGACATGGGATAGAGATTTTGGTTTTACCTTAAGAAGCATGCTTGGGTTAAGAGAAGGAGAGAGCCACACTCCAACTCCACAGCCAGCTTTAATCTTTACCTGAACTGAGACTACAAAGAGACCATTTGCATTATATGTCTGTAGAGAACAGCAGAAAACAAGCATTTTGGAAGATTTATAAAATTTTATCCTTTTAGTAATGTGATATACCAATAGGCCAGTTTATTCTTTATCTTGGGACATTTTTTTTCTGTCTCATTTGTCCTTTTTCTTCAGATATGTCATTTGTCTAGTGGTCATCAGATTCCTTAGGTGAATGCCTTTATTCTCCTGAAAAGACAAAACCAAAGCCCTTCCCTAACCCTAATTTTGGGGAGATTCTGTTTTGGCAAGATATATCTGATCAAATGAAAAGCATTTGTTAGTTTTATGTGTTATTTTATATTAAACAGCCATGGTGTTTGATGAGTATTCATCTTTTCTAATTAAAGATGTCTCATGTTCAAATTGAGTCTTTATCAATTTTGATAGTATCCATAGATTTTCATTTACTTGGAAACAAAAGCAAAACTCCTTCCCAATGTAACATATGTCTGGGTTTCCATTCTGAGGTCAGTACATCTTTAAAGAGTACGAGTTGACTTCATTCTGTAGTTTTTTGTACTGTCCAGTGTTTCTCTGCAGCTGTTGTTCCTTTCTCATTAGCATTTAGAAAATTCAAAGTTAATAGAGCAGTATGTAATCTGGGGGCATTTATGACCCTTTTCTGTTTATTTAGCATAGCCTATAAAGTTTGATTTTTCTATAACTGCCTGGCCTGTAAGATTATGTGGTATACCTGTAATATACTTTATATTTTAATAAGCAAAAAAACTGTCTAATTTTCTTAGAGACATATGCTGGAGCATTGTCCGTCTTTGTTATGGCCCCATGATGTCCATAAC